TTGACTCGTAAAATAGAATCCGGGGGCTGATTTGTTTTGTGATCATTCATAGGTGGGTTCGGCTCGCTCACTCCGTGCACTCCGAGTGACTCCATTCGCACTCCAGCCGTTCGGGTTAAGGTTCGGGTATTGCTTTTTACCGTATTAGGGGTGACTCCATTAGCTCTGTTCACTCCACTCCAACTCCGCGCTGAATAGCCGAACCCAGCCCATGTTATTATGTAGCTATTTCAAACTATTTTTAATGTAAACACTAACATACTGCATAGTTTAGTTTTGCAATTCTAGGAGTGTTTAGTGTGCGCATATTTTTATGGGTGATGTATGTACACCTGCTAAATTAGTTTAAAGTTACGTGGCAACCTTGTCTACTATCCTTGAAGAGACAGACTATTTTGCTTTTAAGGCCGAGTTCGGCTTTGCACTCCACGGAGCGAAACGGTATGAACAGGGATATCGTGACGGTGACGTCATACGCAGAGTGCGCCCTGAAGTCTGTGTTTTTTTTAAAGATAAAAGTCAAAATGCCAATAGTTGTATTCCTTTCACACCTAGGAGAAGCTCCGGAACAGCTCCGGGGCTTCACGCGCTTATTCCTTTCGAAAAGTGTTTGTTGCACCACGCATATGTTCCCTGCAAATCGGGGGCGACTAAGCACCGAAGCGAGTAGCTCGAGTGTTTCAAGCTCTTGAAAGGAATACAACTATTATGTTGGCAATACAATGAAAAATTGTCAATGTTTTCAAATTTTTTATATGTAGAAAAGGCTTCAACATAGTTACTAAATTTTTGACTTGGGGAATTATCTTTAAAAAAGACAGACTTTAAGCCAAACACAGATCGAAACAAATCCTCAAACCCTTGCGCAGTCACTAAACTCAAAAAAAATTGTTTCGTTTTGATTTTATTTTACTAGTAAACCGTAGTAAACGAGTAGGTGAATTAGTAATGGACCTGAAATAAAAGTAGAAATCTAGGAAAAAAACCTCGATAACTAATTTCTCTGGTGCTCCTCCATCCGTCCATCCATCCATCCATCCATCCATCTAAAAGAGAGCAAGCTCAGGGTCAGAGTACGTGCTTGATTGTAACCAAAACGCAAAAGAGAACACTCTGAGAGCTAAAACAAACAGGATCTTATCGTTTCGAGCGCGCTTGAACTGCTCGAAGTTTACCGAGTGTAAAGCCAGTGCATGTGCAGAAGCTAGCTTCTGGATAGGAAATATAGGAATTGGCAAATTAGCTATCCAAGTACTCCTAAATAGTCGAAAAAAAAACAGTCAGTCAGATTTTTTTTACAACCAGGAATAGGAATAGGTACTAGGGGACTGCTGGTTTTACGTGTACTTAGGTGGGGAACTTGCAGCGAATCTGATGACAGTGGCTAGAATGTTGAATTGGATTTGGATGCTATTCGAGCAAGAACACTTATTGCTTATTGAGCTGAAAGTGTGTGCCATTTTAGCCGCAGGCCTCAACTCTTGACATAAAAATGTATAAGCCGAGTTTAAAACAGTATAGGTTAAAAAAACGAATTCCTAAACGTTATATACTTGTTAAAATCACCTTTTCTACATTTAAAATCCATGAAAAAACAAGCGCAACCTGAATCGCAAGCATCCCATCGAGGCCTGCGGGTGACATCACCACTATAAGAGGCTCCTAATAGTACCGACGTCACTCGCAGGCCTTGCCGACTCGAGAATTGGCGAACGTACGCCTTATGATGATAAGCAATCTTATTAGGATTCTTGCTATTCAAGTGTTTCCAAATGGTCAAAAAAATCAGTTAATCATTAAACTAAATAGAGATTTTTTCTCATTATTAGGAAATGGAAAACGGAAATTGTTGGCTTCACGTTTACCTATACTTGATGGTCAGAAACTAAAATGTTTCTGGATAGGACTTAGGTGCTCCTAAATAGTCGAAGAAAAACTTGAATTAGTTATTTATTATTTAAATTACAGATTTTTTTTTTGCATTATTAGGGAACTGAACTACTGGCCTTACGTTTACTTGGGGGTGTAGAGATTTGCAGCGAATCTGATAACAGTGGCTATAATCGTTAATGTTGTATTGAAATTAGGTGTTATCTAAGTGCTCCTGAATGGTCGAAGAAAAACTGCAACTTTTTAGGAGCATTTAAATAGCACCAAATTCCAATACAACAGCATTTTAGTCACAGTTATCAGATTCGCTGCAATGCAAGACATCCTCAAGTAAATTTAAAGCCAGCAATTCCTTAATAATGAAAAACAAAAATCTGTACCTACTTCAGTTAATAATTAACTGATTCAAGTTTTTCTTCAAATATAAGCACTTAAATAGCACTAATTCCTATCCATAAACATTTTAGCTTCTGATACAGCACCAACTAAACGTGAAGCCAATAATTTGCCAATAATGAAAAAAAACTATAAATCATTTAATAATTAACAGATTCAAGTGTTTCGTTGACAATTTGGGAGCACTTAAATAGTACCTAATTTCTATCCAGGAACATTTCAGCCTCTAACACACCACCATAAGTAAACTTGAATCCAGGAATTTCATAATATTGAAAAAAAATCTGTAATTCAGTTAATAATTAACTGATTCAATTTTTTCTTTGACTATTTAGGAGCATTTTAAAAAGTATAAGTACCTATTATGTAAATTCTGATATCAAAGAAAAATTTAAAAAAATATTTTCACTACGGGGGACTGCTATAGGTATTTCATGTAAACCTAGCAATCCCTTCGTTTTTTTTCTACAATGGGACTGCTAGGTTTATTGACCTAATATTCTGGAAAATCAATAAATAACCTCATACAATTTCAAATCTGGGGAGATACCTACTTTGGATAAGTATATGTATTATTAACTTTACATTTATAAATAATTTTACATGTCTGTATAGACTCTACGCTTTAATAATAAGTATATATTTCTAAAATCTTGGCTCTACTGTAGTTAATAAAAATAAAGTCCACAACCATTCATTAAATACAAAAACATTTAATTTATTTTTATTATTTATCAGCATCAGCTGATTACACCAGATGTTCCGCGCGCCCGCCGCGTACACAAACCCTTCAACTACTCTTTCTACTCCTCCGCGATCATGTTAACTGATCCCGACCATAGCCGATCGCGTTCGTGAGTAGACCATTTGCGGATTAGCACAAATGCACAGTAGCACAAATGGAGCCATCTCCTCCGGTCGGACTTCGGCTCGTCTGACGGTCCCGCCCGAAAGCGACTTCGGGTGGGTAGAGCAAATGAACATTAGCACAAATGGGGCGATCCCGTTGAAGATGCAAATGAGCAAATGAGATCTAAACAAGGGTTGTTTTAGAATAATAAATAATGTACTATGGTTCTAAACCGTTTCGAAATACAATCCAATCCACGTTTCAAAACCATTTCCTCGTGCTGAGAAATGATGACGTCATTGTGAAACTGATTTAAACCAGTTTTGGAAAATGTTTCAAAACTTTGAGACGCGAGAAAACACCTCCTAATCCGTGGTGCAACTGGTGCAAGCACTACGTCAAGGCGAGAAACGACACGCTGTTACGTCATCAATGATCGAAAACACAAACCACAAATTATAGAAACATAAATTTTTCTGTAATGACCGTTTTAAGGGAAGTTTCTTGAAATGGTCAGTGCAAATGGCCATAAGATATTTGTGAAAAACTATACCGGTATGAACCGTTAAAACCGAAATTATTGGTCCGAACCGAATCGAAATATTTCTCTAAGAACCGAAACCGTAACGGAACCGATATTCGTCATGACGCTGTGGACCGGAACCGGAACGGAACCGATATTTCATTTCGGTCCGGGTCCCTGGTTTTTAATTTTCTCTTTCTGATCCGAACCAATCCCTTATTTACTCCGAAGCAAAACGGGCTCATCTCACGGCTGTGCCACTATTACATTTCGGAACATGTCTATGTTCGGAACAATCTCATGTCGAATTTGGTTGGAAAAATGAAACTCAAAAAAATATGGAAAAAGAAATTAATCACGACGTTTAAATTCACAACAATTACTATACTATTTAATTATTCAAGAATTCCTGCTTTTGGTCTGAGTTCATTCGACTCTTGCACCAATCTACTCTTGAATCTGGTTAGAAATAATAGTTGTCTTCCTTTCAAGAGCTTGAAACACTTGAGCTACTCGCTCCCGTGTCTATTCGCCCCCGGTTTGCAGGGAACAGATGAGTGGTGGAACAAACACTTTGGGCACTTTCCAAAATTCACCGGTTTCTGAACCGGTGCAATACCGGTTTCATAGTTTACTCACCAAACTGTTCCAAAATGTACCGACTTTTTACCGGTTGAACCCGATCGTTCGTTCCAAAATTGACCGGAATGATCAGCTGTTTAAAACCGGTGAGGCACCGAATCCACCGGGAATTTTTGTCGGTTTTTTCGGTTGGAGGTTTATTGACACTTTTTTTTTGACGTACATTAATTTAATTGCTTCGAATGGGCACTTATTGCGCATTGGCATTCTATTGTTAAATTGCTGCTTGCAGATGGCAGAATAAAAAAATGTTTGTGCGTGGGCGTCATTATGAAATCGACAAACCAAATACTCAGCTCACATAATCTACAAAAATCGTACTGAAAACTACCGTTTGTTGACTGTTAAAAATAATGAAAATACATACCAACCTCACTGCATCCCACAAAAAAATCCATTCCAAAAAATAATAAGCAACACCACCAAACTTTGTCACCAAAGCGTTCCAAAATGCACCAGAAAGATCTTGTAACCAGACTTGCATCTGACTTTTACCGGAATTTTTGGACAGCTACCGGTTTATTTAACCGGTCAATTTATCGGTGAAATTTGGAAAGTGCTCTTTTCGAAAGGAATAAGCGCGTGAAGCCCCGGAGCTGTTCCGGAGCTCCTCCTAGGTGTGAAAGGAAAACAACTATTGAAACGTACGAGAAATGCGGTTCTTGAACGCATCCCTTTCACGTCAAGCTAACCTGTCACTGTCACTGTCACCTCCAGGGGGGCCCCAGTCATGTCATGTTGATTTCATCAAAATATTTGTAAAATAATTTGATAAATAAATAAATAATAAAAAGAAAAAGACAATTTTCCAAATTAATAAAATTATTATAAGCTAAATTAAAGTGGTTTTTAGTGATGTGCGTTAAAAAGTGAAACACGTTTTTGTTGGGACCTAAAGTGGACTTTGTTTAAATTTCATTTCCTGGGAATTATTTATTTTGGTATGTGTCATACAACCTTCTTCCTACTTTATTTATTTAAATATGGTTATATCTGTAGTACTTTTATGGAAAAAAAATGGTACTTAACATTTGAAAACGAACAAAAAAAATGCTGATTTTTAGATTTTACCCCACAGGGTGTTTTCTCACTCTAGTCACTCTGGCACTTTTAATAATGTAATTCTAATTTAGTGCTCCAAAAATCCAAAATTAAGAATAAATTACTAAAAATTAAATTAATTTTATGATGTACTAGGCTAGGTTGAGAATATAGGCAGGTTTTTGGTATTTTCTTTTAAAATATCCTCAGCCAGGGAACTTGAAGGAATATTAGGAATGACAATGAGTGATTTTCTCAACTCTTAATAGTCCCAATCCTTAATTAAGGCTGGTTCATGCATGAAAATATTTTCCGTTTCCGTAACTTAGTCGCTATCTATATCCGTAAGTAATGTATAAGTTGCATGTATTTATATGCAGGTGTTCATGCACATTACTTTTCCGTATCATTTTCTTTATTCTCTATTAAAGATAGTTAACTTTTATCTTTTACGGATAAAGTTACAGATAAATTCGATGGCGCCTGCGCAGTAGATGGAAACATCCATATTTCTCGACTTAACCTCAAAAACAGGAAATTTTTTAAAGGAAACAACAAATACGACTTAAAATACGTGTCTGAATTGAAAATAACGTGGGAAATAATATTTATAACACCCTGATAAAACCCAACAAACCGTTCGCAGTTTCCCATACACGTCAACAATGTCATTATTAAAGACTGATAAAAACTCTTAATTTTTGGTGCATGAAATACCTCAAATTTTACGGAAAAAGAAAAGCTTATGCATAAGGAAAAAGTTAAAGAAACAGAAAAAGAATTTATGCATGAACCAGCCTTTACTTATTGAAAACTGATTATCTCTACTTTAGGGCCAAATTATGGAGTGACTGGTAAACGTCTGGTTTTTACCTAGCAGGTACTTTCTACGCACTGGAGAATAGAAAGTACCTGCTAGGTAACAACCAGACACTTACCAGTTGGTCCATAATTTGGCCCTTAGTATCAATTCAGTTGTAATTTGAGGGGTGAAACACTTAACTTTGATTTTTTTCACCATCTAGAAAGTAGACACTTGTTTATTCTTTACCTACCTAAAGTCTGTTTTTTTTTTTAAAGATAATTCCCCAAGTCAAAAATTTAGTAACTATGTTGGCAACACAAAGATTTTTTTCTCAAATTTCAAATTTTTTCTTCCAAAATTTCAGTGTTATTCCTTGAACGCACAATTTAGTCTTAATTCGATGTTGGGGTCGTACTAAACTAAACAATTACCCTAAAGAACCAGCAAAAATATTTTTTTATTTTTTTTCCATACATTCAATCTTTGCTCCTTTCTTTTCTCCATTCATTTGCAAAATTTTACTTATCCTTTAAACCTCGCCTCAACCCTTTTCATAAAAAAAAAACATAAACATCTCTCAAAGTTGTTTTTTTGGAAATTTGATTGCCTCACTGCTTTGCTAATTCCGAGGGTAATTCATTTCCAGTCAATTCCACTAAACCAAGAAAAATCTTTAAACAAGGAAGAATTTTCGAATGTACCTAATACCCGAGCTAATACCACAAGAGGTTTCAGGACAAGGGGCAAACCACCTAGGAATTCCTTGCCAAAAATATGGGGAATTTGAAGGAACTTATCGAAATTTATGAGAATTTGGGGAATTTATAGGGAATTTGGAGGAATTTATGAGGAAGTTAAAGGAAATTGTAGTCATGACGTCATTGAGGTTCACATTCTTATTATAAGAAGCACTAGTAAATGGAAATTTTACAAAAAATCTAGCTTTGTGTTGAACTTGGACATTCATTTTCATAAAAGATTTACAGATCCAAATTTAAAAAATTTAAAAAAATACCACATGACCTAAAAAGTTTCAAATTTTTCCGTTCACTAGTTTTCACGAAAACTTCGAAATGTGTGAGAGTACCTACTTATATTTTCAATTAATTCAGATATTGTAGGTTGATTTCCAATATTCCTCATGTTGCTATTTTCGACTGGATAAATTTGATTTTTTGGGAAAATGAACCTTTAACCTTTCTACTCTTCACATGCAAAAGGTTTCAAATTTTTCCTTTCCTTACACTAGTTTTCCAGAAAAACTTTGAAATGTGTGAGACGATATTTTCAACTAATTCAGTTTTTGTAAGTTGATTTCCAAGATTCTTCATGTTGTTATTTGCCACTGGAAAAATTTGAAATTTTGGGAAAATGAGCATCTTGCTCTTCACATGCAAAAAGTTTCAAAATTTTCCCTCTACTAATTTTCCAGGAAAAATTTGAAATGTGTGAGGCTGTATTTTCAATTAATTCAGTTATTGTAAGTTGATTTCAATATTCCTCATGTTGTTATTTTCTACTGAAAAAAATTGAAGTTTTGAGAAAATGAGCCTTTAACCTTTCTTCTCTTCACATGTAAAAAGTTTCAAATTTTTGCCTTCACTAGTTTTCCAGGAAAACTTTAAAATACGTGACACTGTATTTTCTATTAATTCAATTATTGGAGGTTGATTTCCAAGATTCTTCATGTTGTTATTTTCCACTGGAAAAATTTGAAAAATTGGGAAAATGAGCCTCTGACCTTCCTCTTTACATGCAAAAGGTTTCAAAATTTTCCCCTAATTAGTTTTCCAAGAAAACTTTGAATTGTGTGAGACTGTATTAACAATTATTTCTGTTTTTGTAAGTTGATTTCTAAGATTGTTCATGTTGTTATTTTCCACTAAAAAAATTTGAAATTTTGGGAAAATGAGCCTTTGACATTCCTCTTCACATGTAAAAAGCTCGGTAAGAAGTTTCAATATTTTCCCTCAATTAGTTTTCCAGAAAAATTTTGAATTGTGTGAGACTGTATTAACGATTATTTCAGTTTTTGTAACTTGATTTCCAAGATTTTTCATGTTGTTAATTTCCAGTAGAAAAATTTGAAATTTTGGGAAAATGAGCTTCTCCCTTTCCTCTTTACATGCAAAAAGTTTCAAAATATTCCCTTCGCTAGTTTTCTAAGAAAACTTTGAATTGTGTGAGACATTTAATTAATTCAGTATTCAGTTAAAGTAGGTTGATTTCCAAGATTCTTCATGTTGTTATTTTCCACTGGAAAAATTTAAAATTTTGGGAAAATGAGCTTCTTACCTTCCTCTTTACATACAGTAAAGTTTCAAAATTTTCCCTCCACTAGTTTTTCAGGAAAAGTTTGAAATGTGTGAGACTGTATTTTCAACTAATCCAGTTTTCGTAGGTTGATTTCCAAGATTCTTCATGTTGCTGCTTTCCACTGGAAAAATTTTAAATTTTTTCGAAAATAAGCATCTCACCTCCCTCCGAGCCTCCCTCTTTACATGCAAAAAGTTTCACAAGATGGCATTAACAATTATTTCAATTTTTGTAAGTTGATTTCTATGATTTTTCATGTTGTTATTTTCCAATGGAAAAATTTTAAATTATCGAAAAATGAGCTTCTAACCTTCTTTTTCACATGCGAAAAAAATCAAAATTTTTTCGTTCACTAATTTTCCAGGAAAATTTTGAAATGTGTGAGATAAGATTTTCAACTAATTCAGTTTTTGTTGGTTGATTTCCAAGATTCTTCATGTTATTTTCCACTGGAAAAATTTGAAATTTTGGGAAAATGAGCTTCTTCCCTTTCTCTTTACCTACATGCCAAAAGTTTCAAAATTTTCCCTTCACTAGTTTTCTAGGAAAACTTTGAAATGTGTGAGACTGTAGGTATTTCCAATTAATTCAGTTATTGTAGGTTGATTTACAAAATTCCTCATGTTGTTATTTTCTACTGGAAAAATTTGAAATTTTGGGAAAATGAGCTTTTAACCTTTCTTCTCTTCACATGAAAAAAGTTTCAAATTTTTGCCTTCACTAGTTTTCTAGGAAAACTTTGAAATATGTGACACTGTCTTTTCTATTAAGTCAATTATTGGAGGTTGATTTCCAAGATTTTTCATGTTGTTATTTTTCACTGGAAAAATTGGGAAAATGAGCCTCTGACCTTCCTCTTTACATACAAAAAGTTTTAAAATTTTCCTTTAACTAGTTTTCTAAAAAAAAATTTAAATTGTGTGAGACAGTAGTGAGATTTTGAGCCACATAAATTTTGAAATACAGTTTTCTTAGTAGAGCACTATTTCCGGTCATACGGGGCTCAAGTTTGACTAAAGTCTCGGAAAAACTTCAGCAACCACTCTTGATAAATATTTCCAATGATATGCAGAATCGTTATGAAGCTTTTTTTGCGTCGCTATGATGGATTTTTTTAAACATATACGCATGATACAATAATTAATGAATGATATAATTTATATGTTCACTACTGTTTATTTTGGCGGATACTGTACTTTCACAGGAGAGTAAAATAAAAGCGATTAAAAGCAAAGTCCAACAGAGAGTGAGTATCCTTTTATTTTTTATTCTATTATTCCTTGGTGTTTCAATTGTTTACTGTATTCTGCTTGCACGGAAGTGTATATAGGGCATTCAAAAATTACCATTTCTGTCAGTAGATACATACATTTTCTAGTGAGCGATGATGGCTCCCGAAGAAAATAGACGTAAACGTGGAGCAATTGAAAGCAAATTAACAATTTTTTCAAATTTTATCATTAACAATTTCGAGAATAAAGCACCAGATGAAATTTCTGATTTAAATTTTATTCAATTGCAAGAACGAAAAGAAAGATTTGAGAACTTAATTCATGAAATTAATGACATTCAAATCCAAATAGTGTTTCGGGTGATGATGTAGATGCATTGCTAGAAATAGAATACTTTCAAAGGGAGACCTTTGAACAGGAGTATTATAAACAACTGAGCATAGCAACCCAAATTTTGAATAACAATGCATCTACACCTGACTCTGAAAAGGGTTTTGGCAGTGGTCAAGGAAGCATCAAAAGTGAAAATCATTTGACGAATTTGGTA